CAAAATGCTTTAAATTGCTTTCAAAAATACTGTGAAACATGGAAACTGACTGTCAATATTCAAGAGACTAAAGTCGTCATATTTGAGAAAAGAAAAAGCAGAGGTACTTATTCATTTACTTATAATAATGAGCCCCTAATGGTTGTAAACTCTTATTCATATTTTGGTGTACTGTTTAACTATAATGGTACGTTTGTAAAGGCTACGACCCAATTGATAGAACAGGCTAGAAAGGCATTATATGGTCTATATAAGAAAATAAGAAATATTCCATTACCTGTTGATATCCAATTTAAACTATTTGATACATTTGTGTCACCTATTCTATTATATGCATGTGGAATATAGGGATTAGAGAATGTAACTAGCGTTGAAAAAATACATCTACAATTTTGTAAAAGAATTCTTAAATTGCGAAGTAATACCCTAAATTATATGATATATGGGGAACGTAGTCGTTATCCACTAGAAATTGATATTAAGACTCGAATGGGGACTTATTGGCATAGAATTATTACAGATGAGAATAAACTATCATGTATACTCTATAATTTAATGAACAAACTTCAGTCACAAGATCAAATCGATTTCAAATGGTTGAAGTCCATAAAGTCAATACTAGATAACACTGGATATAGCAGTGTATGGAATAACCAACATATATGTACTGTTGATAGTAGAGCTGGCACGATTCACAGATTCCTGCGATTGTATTCGCCATTGCACGATTCGCGATACTTGAATCGCGGCTATCCCGAATCGCGATACTAAACGATTGGTGGTGTGACACCTTAGCTACTTTAGTGAATAGAGTTACTTCCCCTTTCCGCGCTCTTCAATTACATGAAAATCATGGCCGCCACCGATTTGGAGACAGGGGTCAAGATAGTAAACGCTCCAGCAGCCTTTAAATCCGAGGTTTGAAAAAATTTGGGTTTGTTCAGGGTTCGGACAGAAAACAAGTGGCTTGTAGATTATGCTTTGCTGTTCTGGCTTATAGCAGCAACACCACAAATATGAGCACCCATCTCCGTAGGCATCATGGAATTATGCAGACTGGCAACGTTACGATTACTACGATTGATCCGACCCCAAGTTCGTGTTCAGAAACATTAGCAGTAAAATCAGTAAAGTCGCTGTCTGAAACCCACACCAGTGATAAGGCACAGTCTACGTTGTTCCGGTTTAAATCTAGTACAAGCACCCAAAAACTGACTGTTCCAGAAAAACAACGTATTACATCAGCACTGACTGAGTTTATTGTAGACGATCTCCGTCCCTTTAAACTGGTGGAGTCGGCGAAATTTAAAAAGCTCATAAGTATACTGGAACCAAGATATGTGGTACCAGGTCGGCATCACCTCTCTGAAGTTGAAGTTCCCAATTTGTACGAGGATGTCAAAGTGAAAGTTTTGAACAGTCTACGTGAAGCTACTACTGTAGCTCTCACCACAGATGGGTATGTATTCTGTATTGAGTAATCCAGTAATGGATCATAAAGGTACATGTGTTTGTATTTCAGGATAAATATTAAATAATTAAACATCAGATAATTAAGTTTTTATGATAGCCCAGTTGGTGATATTCTAGAATTACATCGGTATCAAAATTTAATTGAATTAATAATTAGTTTGAATATTTTTTATTTTAGAAATAAAACATCTACTAATATAATTTATTGCATTGCAAATTCATTAACTGTGATTTTTTTTAACTTGTATGTAGTAATCAAAAATATGTTTTCATCTACTATTTTCATGTTTTTTGCGAAAATCTTGAATATTTTCTTCTGATCTGTAAAATGTATTTGTGCAACTCATGTTGTTTCAGATGGACATCGCGAGTGACCGGATGTAACCGTACTGTTCAGTTTATCGGCAAAAACTGGTGAAAAGCAATGTCTTACAGACTAGGCGTATGGATCATACCGCAATATTGCTGGTGTAATTTCAGCAGCCGTTGTCGGGACTAATGGACAAGCATCCGGCTTTGGTATCGGACAATGCAGCAAACATGGTTGTGGCAGCTCGGGAATGTGGACTTACCCCTTTCGTCAGATGTTTCGCCCATACATTGAATCTTGTCGCCCATAAAGGACTAAAGGTACAAACACTGTCTACACTTCTTGCAAAGATTAGGCGAATAGTTGTGTTTTTTTTCACAAAAGTACCGTAGCTAATACCATTCTGAAGCAGAAGCAAAAGCTACTTGGCTTATCAGAACATAAGCTCAAAATTGATGTTTCCACTAGATGGAACTCTGCATACGATATGCTTGAACGATATCTCGAACAACAAGCAGCAGTGTACGCGGCATTGTTGGAGACCAAAGATCTGAGAAAGAGGGAATCTGACCTTTCTACACTTAATGATGGAGATATTTCAAATGCGGAGGAAGTGGTCAAAACCATGGCACAGCTTAAGAAAGCGACAGTGGCTTTGTGTACAGAGAAAGGTCCCACATTATCGCTTATCTGTCCGCTGTTACACAAGCTCTCCACTAGTCTGGTTGCAGCAGCGGGAGACACTACTCTTGTAAAGAATCTCAAGAAAGCAATGCATGACAACCTCGAGACAAGGTACGTTTTAGGTCAATAATATTATTTTAAAAGATTTAAAAATAATGAAAATTATACACGCTTAACTTAGATGTTACTTAAAATGAATAAAATTTTGTGTTAAAAAAACAAAACTTAAAAAATATGTACTCAATCAAATATGCTTTCTTGTTATCCTAGTATTGGCATTGTGTCCACTCCAACATATATAAAGTTATAAACTGAACAAACAAATCATATTGAATATAAATACTATTTTAATTCAATATAAAAAATATCAAATATCAATACATTCATTATCATTACATTGAATGAGCTTGGAATTGTTAAGCCTATAAGCCAGTAGTATTCCGACTTTATTTTTATTGAAGCTACGAGGACGATCGTCTTTTCCTGCAGACAGCCACCTTTCTTGATCCCCGCTTCAAACAAGTACCGTTCCTGAATGAGGAAGAAAAGGACAGGACAGTGAAATCGGTCCAGGGCATGGCATTATCGACAGTACAGCAGGTATTATACAGAAAGTCAAAGTAGGAAATTAATGGTTGTAAATTTTACTGTATTTGTAAACAATTTATTTTCTATATATTTTTTTCCTTCAATATGACATGTTTCATAATAACAAAAAGTTAAAACACATAAATAAAGCAACACTAGCATAAATATGTCCTAAATTTACCACATCTTTTAATTACCCTTTCTATCGAGTGTTTATGAGACATAACGTCATCAACCCAAAAGCCAGAACAGCAAGAAACAAATAATCATGATTTTAGTGTTTGACATTAATGTATTATTCAGGTACCTGCGGTACGTATCAAACAGGAGCCCCCAGATGCTGTTCCACGACCACAGATGCCAACACTTCCAGCGCTCCCCACATTGCCACAGCTTGACCAACTTCCAGCGCTTCCCACATTGCCACAGCTTGACCAGGACGAGCATGTATCAGGCCCAGCACTGCCATTGTCATCCCTGATCTCTGTCTCCAGACGATCCGAGTCTCCTCCTCCAAGGAAAGTGGCAGCGTTGGACGATCTGTTGGGCGACGTCTTTGTTGAGAAGGTGGAGGAGGCAAAACCGCTAACACCCCAGGAAATTATCGAGAAGGAAATATCGATCTATGCAAATGAACAACCAATTAAACTAACTGATAATCCCCTAGTTTGGTGGCGAGAACATTCAATATATTGTCCACATCTGGCAAAAGTTACCAAACATTTGCTTGGTGTACCAGCGACATCCGTACCGTCAGAGAGGGTTTTTTCTACGACTGGGGATATTCTATCGGCCCAGAGGTTGGGGCTGAAGGCGAAATACGTGGATATGATGATTTTCCTAAAGAAGAATATGTAAAGTTTGCCAATGTACAGCCTCGACCTATGGATCGATAGCATCTGAGGGTACTGATGTGGCGGGTGTTCTTCTCTGTGTTTTATTGTCTTTATAATGGTCTAGTCAATGTTTCATCATGAACATTAAATTGTACCAGTTCAGTTAATTTATTAGCATAGATCAAGATTCATTAAATTGTTGTGCTTCTACCAGTCTTTTTGGATCACTAAATACTACTTTTATTATATGCAAGTGTAGTTTGATTACATCCTTAATCCTGACTGTTATAAGTAGCCGGACAAAAGATGTGGGAGCCAAATAACGTTTGGCCAGTTTGATTATTACTGTTTTGTTGTGGAGCTGTAGTCTGATCTAATTAGTTATGTATGATCCCCCAACACTGACATTGTCAGGGTTCCAATATACTAGTGATTTGAACTCATTAATTAATATGAATTCAATTTATCATGAAATACTCAGGATATTAATTTTATTTTTGTAATTGTTTAAGTTTTGATAATTTTTTTGTTTTGTTATTGTTCCCATAGGCAATGGAACTAAATAAAAGTGTTGAATTTATTATTGCTGTAGTTTGCTTTTTATTGCACTTCATTTTGAGCTTCCTGTTCCTTCAGATCTTCACTGTTTCATCACTAGTCTACTGATTGTCATGATATATCGCGATACCTATGGTATCGTCAATCTGTATCGTGATACGTATCGTATCGCGAGATTGGTCGTGATACCCAGCTCTATGTAGCAGTACCTGGACTTAGTGGGGAGTCACTGGCCTGCTTATTATTAGTTGTCCCGGATAGCAGTTATAACTCAACAGTTCCTTTGCTACTTGGCACGAATGTACTGTTCCCTATGATATATGCCTGTAAAGGTAAGTATGGAGCAAGATTTCTACAACAAGCAGATCTTCATTCACCCTGGTATCTTGCATTCAGATGTTTGTCTTTAAGGGAGCGACAGTTAGTCAGGAATGAAAACAGACTCGGTCTTGTTAGATGTGCGGAGACTAAAAGTATTGTGATGCAGCCGAAGCTACGTTACTTTGAAAGGTTACATTGACAAAGCAATAAGCTATCATAGGACCTGCGCCATGCTGCAGCCATCGAAACTGGCTACCATTTCAACATTACTGGATTTGACACCTGGAGTCATAGATTTCGGTGATAAAAATAGAACTGTATCTGTGCAGCTTTCCAATGTCACCAGCCGGACACTGACCATCCATCCAAAGGCAGTGATTTGTGAGCTCCAACCAGTAGTCATGGAGAAACCACCGCCCTCCATGGAGCAAAAGGAGAGACTCAGTATATTGGATATCCTAGATTTTTCCTCATCGAAGGATGTGCCTTTGTCACCGTATCAGCTTAGTGAGGGAATGGAACTGATCAAGAAGTATGAGGATATATTCTCGAAACATGATAATGATATTGGTCATTCCACTATGGTACAGCACAGGATAAGACTTGAAGACGAAACCCCTTTCAAGCAACGTCACCGAAGAATCCCACCATCCATGTTGGAGGAGGTTAAAGGACACCTTCAGCAACTTTTGTCAGGAGGGATCATCAGGAAGTCGCATTCACCATGGACTTCTAATGTTGTGTTGGTGAGGAAAAAAGATGGCAGTTTAAGGATGTGTGTGGATTACCGGCAAATGAATAATCGCACTATCAAAGATTCTTACGCCTTGCCTAGAATAGAGGAGATCTTAGACTGTTTGAGTGGTAACAAGTTTTTCACTGTGCTGGATATGAAGAGTGGTTACCACCAGGTGGAGATAGATGAACCACACAAAGAAAGAACAACATTCACTGTTGGACCGTTAGGATTTTTCGAATTTAACCGTATGCCTTTTGGATTGTCCAACGCCCCAGCGACCTATCAACGTCTAATGGAAGAATGTCTTGGTGATCTTCATTTGAACATTTGTCTTATCTATTTGGATGATCTTATTGTGTTTTCAGATACTTATGAAGAACATTTACGTCGTCTTGAAAAGATATTTCAGAGACTCGGGGATTGCGATTTGAAGTTGTCGCCAAAGAAATGCTGGTATAGAAGCTGATCCAGACAAGATTGCAAAGATTCGAGATTGGCCAGAACCATCAACGCCTGAAGATGTAAGAAAATTTTTAGGATTTGCCGGATATTATCGCAAATTTGTACCCAACTTTGCTCATATTGCCAGACCGCTCACTGATTTACTACCACCTACTCATAAGAAGTCAGCAAAGTCTAAGAAGCAGGAAGAAGTTGAGTGGAAATGGGGCACCCGGGAAAGAATATCATTCCAAAACTTGAAAGAAGCTCTTTCATCACCACCTGTTCTTGGATTTGCCGATTACACCAAACCATTTGAGCTTCATACAGATGCAAGTTCAATCGGTTTGGGAGCTGTTTTGTATCAGGACCATGATGGTACATGCCGTCCAGTTGCTTACGCCAGTCGTGGACTTACAAAAACGGAGAAGAATTACCCAGCTCATAAGCTAGAATTTTTAGCTATGAAGTGGGCCATTACCGACAAGTTTCATGTTTATTTGTATGGAAACCACTTCACAGTTTACACGGATAACAACCCTTTAACCTATGTACTTTCGAAGGCAAAACTGGATGCTGCAGGCCATCGCTGGTAGTCGGCCTTAGCTACATACAACTTTGACATACGCTACAAGCCTGGAAAGAACAACCTGGATGCAGATACTTTATCAAGATACCCAGGACTTGAGGATGATTGTAGGACAGACATCCAACACATTACCAGGGAATGCATCAAAGCTGTGTGCAATGCCATCACTGAGGGATCTCCATTTATGGAAACCATGTGCATGTCAGCTGAGGTCTTAGATGATACCGACATTTGACAAGACTTCGGAGAATACACACCCACACAGATGAGGAAACTACAGAGTGAGGACGGAGCAATTGGTGACATATTGCCCTATGTCAGGAATCATCAGAGGCCAACAAGATTTATGGATAATTGTAATGAGTTCAAGGTCTATGCAAAGAAATTTTACAACTTAATTCTCTCCAGAGGGGTCCTATACAAGAAGACTCGAGATGATATACTTCAGTTAGTATTGCCCTTGTCATTGAGACGGGGGCTGCTTCAGGCCTTACACAATGACATAGGACACCCCGGGCGTGATAGGACGACGTCAAGCATACAGGATCGATTCTATTGGCCTGGAATGTGCAAGGACATAGAGGAATGGGTGAAGCTGTGTGATCGCTGTACCAGAGCCAAGACACCAGCAAGAACCCGAGCCCCACTTGTCAGCATACAAACATCACAGCCAATGGAACTTGTGTGTATTGACTTTCTTACACTAGAACCAGCCAAAGGAAATTATCAATATCTTTTAGTGATAACCGATCACTTCACTAAATATGCACAAGCCATACCTACTCGGAATATGTCGGCTCATACTACTGCAGATGCTCTTTACCATAACTTCTTCATCCATTATGGGATGCCCAAGCGAATCCACTCCGACCAGGGAGCTAACTTTGAAGGAGATCTCATAAAGGAGTTATGTCTGCTATTAGGAATAGAGAAGTCGAGGAAAAGTCCTTATCATCCGCAAGGAAACGGTTTATGTGAGAGGTTTAGCAGAACTTTGCTTGACATGCTTCGCACATTGAATCCAGACCAAAAGAAAGATTGGAAGTCATTTATTGGACCCTTCACTAATGCATACAACTGCACTAGGCACGAGACAACAGGGTATTCATCGTACTACCTGATGTTCGGTCGACACCCCAGACTACCAGTTGATGTTGCTTTTGGCGTTAGGGAGCAGGATGAAGACTCTGATCAACCCTCATATTTTGCATATGTTGAGGAGTTACGTGAACGTTTGAAGCAAGCATATCATTTGGCTTCATTGAATGCTGATCAAGCACAAAGGAAACAGAAAGTGGGGTATGATGTACGAGTACGTGGTGCCACCTTGGAGCCAGGAGACAGAGTACTTGTCAAAGTACTTGCATTCAAAGGCCGGCACAAGATTGCTGACCCATGGGAGAGTGGAATTTATATAGTGGAAAGTCAGCCTAACAATGATATTCCAGTATATATCATTCAACGGGAGGATGGTACTGGAAGAAAAAGAACCATGCACAGAAACCAACTTCTTCCAGTTGGATATTTGACGCCAGATTCCAGGAGCATGGATGATAAAGCACCTACAAGGCCTAAACCTGCGTCAAGGCATAGGAAGTCTAAACCAAAACAAACAGTGAGTGAGGATGTGGAGGTGGAGCCCGAAGATCAAAGTGATACTTCATCAGTGGTAGTCCATGTTTCCACACCGGAAGAAGAATCTGTTACAGTTACAGATATTCCAGTTCAGCAGGATGACGGTCCACATACAGCTGACTGGGATGATGAGGTTGTAGATGACGATCCACCCCAAGACGTTGAGGGTGAGCAACCTCGGGAGCCAGAGACTGAGCTCAGGAGGTCGGAGCGTGTTAGAGCTCCACCCAAGTGGTTCACCTCAGGTGAGTTTGTCATGTCAGGCCAGGAGCCTGATTGGCTGCGTAGAGTCAGATACTTGTTGACACTAGCTAATTCAAAAGAATTTTTAAATCTCTCTCCACAGATGACAGAAGCAGTAGTGTCTCTTGTCACCAAGAAAAACTGACGAGGACGTCATCTTATTTGCAAGGGGAGTATGTGGCAGTGTCAATTTTACTTTTATCTATTTATATATATTTTTATAAATGTACTTGTCCAACCGGTTTGTTTTGTCAGTGTATGTTCTAAGAATTTCTCACCTGTGTTTTGTTATGTAAATGTCTTGTCACGTGATTACATGCTTGTTCGTGCACCTGTATGTTCTGTATCGTTATTCACGCGCTGGACAGAGACATGGACAGTCGCAATTATATGTAGCTACGTACGGACGACTGTGGTGGCAAAAATACATTTTAAAATAGTAAGTATTTGAAATATCATTTAATTATTTTAAATGATAATGTTAGTTAACTTTTACAGAATAAGTATTTTCGTATTTATTGAAATATTTGAAGAAATTGAAATATCTCTTTGTGGTTTTTTCATTATTCCCTTTGTAATGGGAATAGTATTTTTTGCAGAATTATCTTAAAGAAATTTATTACAGATATAGTTAATTACGTCTTGTTGTTTTTCTTTCAACAGAACCATAGATCATTTTATTGTAAAAAAGGATGTTATCTCTTGAGACCCCTGTCAGATTGATAGGGTAGGTATATTATGTATATATATTATTTAACTATTAACTACATCTGTGTAATACAAATGGTAAATCCTATAGTTTATCATGTGTTGGCATTGGATATATATATTTTGATGAATTCGTAAAGTTTAGTGTAACCGTTACGGGAAATATAAATATGTGTAAAAAGTAAAGTTGACTCCATGTCCAGTGTATAACATACAGTGCGTAGTTTGTAATATGTCTTATACATGAACTTATGTTTTATTTGTGTTATTGTAGGGTCTTTTGGTGCGTCTAAATAAACGTATGAAAGGAATGAATCCAGCGTTATTTTATAAAACACTGTAGCATTGGAACCCGGCTACATTTGTAATGCCCTTTACTTCGGAAAGTAACAAAATTTATACAAAAACTAGAAAAAATTCTTAGTAATTTCTGAATTAATTGTATGTATCTAAAATTATATGTAAGTATGTATGGGCATGTATGTACACGTATGTATGTATGTATGTATGTATGTATGTATGTATGTATTTATGTACGTGTGTATATATGTAGGTACATGTGTATGTATGTGCGTGTGTATGTATGTATTCGTTGGGACCTCTAGTGGTGACACAGTCAGTGGTTGTGCCTCCTCGTTAGCCCCGGGGCATGTCTTTCCGTACGGCGGCACGTGGGTACACCTGCTCTTACAAGGGGAGGTCCCTTCCTTCTCTTTGGCACTCTGTTCTACCTCCCTACTATTTTGGCGGTGCTGAAGGGGCTGCCTGGCTTCTAGTCATCACTACGGTATGGTAATTATTACTGAAATGAAATTGAAGCTTTTCATGTAAAACAAATTTTTATGAGGTAATACTTACCCTAACTTTATGGAGACCCACCCTATCCTCCCCTCTTCCTTATCTGCCTGGCTGCCCCTCTGTGGGGTGCTTCATAAAGGTTATTAGAGGAAGGGTGACCACTCTATGTTCCTGCCGTGATGGCTTATGGATCGTAGGGAGGGCGGGATTGTTTGAATATTTTGTTGTGGGATACAAAGATGGGTGTAGGTACTGTATTTGCACACTAAAGTTATGGTAAGTATTACCTCATGAAAATCGGTTTTACATGAAAAAAAAAACAACTCAAATTTCATGTCTTAGTTATAAAATAAAAATCAAGATAATGTCTTGTCGTTTAAAAAGTAAAACCTCTTTTGCACTTTGTCTGTACTGAGACACGGCCTATTCTTCTAAATCAGCCGCTTGCCTCGATCTTGACTTTACAACGCTGTCACAATCCGACTTTATTCGGGTATGTATACGTTTCGGTACGCTCGATACGGTATGTTTGAGCTTCCATACTAGAGCGTCCACCCGGTTATGCAACGATAGACGTGGCATGGAACTGCAGATGCCAGTTATTCCTGTAGAAGCGTGAAATATCAGTCACGGTAAGTACACAAACTATCTTTCAATGTATTATGTGAATGTTTATAGTTTCTGGGTTGAAGGTGACTATCGAAAGATAGTTTAAGTTTGTATTATTGAGTTTGTTAATGTTGTTTACCGGGTACGTTCGTTCACACGTGTGAGCACTGATTACATCGTTTATTACCTGTATACATCTAAATATGGTTAGGGAACGCTTTATATAATGATGATATGTATTAGCTTAGGTTTCATTAGTAGTAGTACGAAGTCATAGAGCTATTTTCATATATTGTAGCTTGCTGTCCCGGGGATAGTAATTGTGGCTTGATTATCTAAATACTTGATTAAAGCCATTCTGGTCTCTAGTCATTATTAATGGTCAAAGGGCAGACAATTCTTTGGAGTTAAGTTCTGGGTATGAATTATCCCTCATTTGTATGAAACTGAGTTTTCGGCAAAGGTCATTATCAGAAATACAAGTATAAGTCAATGTTGCGGACTTTAGACGGATGAAGAAAGGATCCAAGATGAAGAAAGACACATTCAATTATAGAGTAATATTTATTTAACAAAGTCAAAGGGTTTTATTTAAGGAACTGCGCTACCAGGATAAGTGGTTGAGTTATACCATTTGGCTGTTACAATACAGTTGTTTTCCATCATTGTCATATACAGCAAAAATAGATGTGGCAGGTATATTCCGACAATGGCAGTGTCAGTTGCGGGATAAAAATATTATTATCGTGTTTAGTGAAAAATGTGTGAATATACCGGCGAATTTCAAACATCGTTTTATCTGATAACATTGTCACGAAGTCGAGAGGCTTGATGATGATGAAAATAGAATCAACAACCATGAAATAAATTTAACAAATTTATTAACAATTCACTGTGTATATATGTACAAAGTGATAAAAGCAAAAAGAATGCCTCCTGGAAAGGAGTGACACAACATGGGGTTCGAACCAAGATCACAGTATGGTTACACCCTATAGTTACCATTAATCAACCAGAGTTCCGCAAGCGTTACAAAATACGCCCGTCCTAAGTTGAGCAACCATAACTGGATGAATTTCAGGCGGGTAATTTTGGTTTCTAGGTTGTAAGATTGATTTCCAAGATTATCTACTGAATTTCTGTAAAGTTAACGGTGCTTGTGTAAAACTTACTCGATAAAGAGTAACTGAGGTTAAGGTTATCATTTTATCGCGAGTTGTCTCCCATTACACCCTTCCTTCCCCTTTCGCCTGGAGGAGCTACCCACGGCACACAAATTGTTCCTGAAGGGGAATTATGTAATGCGGACCGTAAATGGAACGAATTCAGTAAGTGCGGGGGTAGTGTGGACATCTCTGGTGTGGTTATATTCGATGCCTAATTCTTTCGTGACATTAAAAAGTTCAGTAAATGCACCAGGTGTGACCATTATATTCGGGTATCGTTTCCGAGTTTTAATGTTCTGTTATAATACTTTAATCAGTAGAATCGTCTGAGGTCCTACTTTAATATATAGTTGTCTTTAAAGTTTAATTGAAATAACCTCTCACTTCCGATGAAAATGGCGCCAAATTGGTGCTGATTTCGGTAGCTGCATGACGTCACTAACAGTCGGTAAACGACGTCACAACATGCATACATGGTATTCAATCACAGCATCGAGATCTGCGATGTGAACGTAAAACAGAAAATAAGTCATTTAATATTTAACATTTAATATGAGAACGAAGCATACATTCTTTGCTGAGAGAGAAGAGCGAGAAGCACAGTTGTAAGTACGTGTCAATACTTTAATGACGACTGATAATTTTATATTTTTTTCTAAGAAGGCGATGATTCACAACTGAAAGTGAATAACTTTACAGGGTTTTCGCAGTAGCAATATGTTGTTAAATATGAGATTTATTCAATATCATCATAAACGTATTGTTTTGAAGATGGAATGTTTTTAAGCTTTGTTTTAGTTCTCGGTAAGCATTAAAAGATTCCTCCAGAGGAAAAATAAAAAAAAATACCACCAATCAGCGTAAAAATATGTCAAGTTGAACTACAAAATCTATTAATAAGTAATGAACTTATCGATAATACCGGGCAGCTTGAACATTGTGTGAATCCCGATGTCTCACATTCCCACAACGACTATTTTTATAATTATGGTGTACAGAAACACTGCTGATTGATAACTCTTTTTCGTTCTTCTTGTAGTAGTGTCCAAACATGGACGGTGATCGGTCCATTCGTCCTACTACTGGCCACTCTCAAGAGTTCGATGTTTGAAGACGAGAGTCGTAATCTATACGAATACAGAGTGATCGTACGTAATCATTAACCGTCCATTAGCTCATAATACTAAATAATCTACTACAGAATACTTACTGTCCAACTAAAGTAATCATCGAAACCAGATGCTTTCGCTCTCATATACATTTGTAGAAACAGCTTCCATTCACCCATTGGATTCTACCGTGGCAGCTCGAAAGTTACCGATTGTCAGTGTTTTGTTTTTCATAAATCATCTTACTCTTTGATAGGTAAAATAAGTTATTTAGTCGTTGAACACAAGCTTACTTCCGATATTGCAGTGGTATGTGGCCGAATTTGGACTCATTGTGACCCTGTGGTACACGGTTTACAAGATAGCACATGGTAAGTCAGGGTATATGCACTTACTGTCAATCCATATAATAGTGAAAGAACAAGGGAAAACACATTTGCAATTTATCAGAAAAATACACAACGTCACTGAAAATTCAAAAGCTCTGTATTTTCCCAGATTTTGAACTTGGGCTGGAGAAACTTGACATCGCAGCAGTACTCCGATCCTAGCGCGCATTTTTCTGTCACTGTTCTCATAATCCGAAACATAATTGAAAGGGTTTATATGGTGTCACGGCATTGAAAATCTATATATCGATTAAGTTATGTATACTTATCTGTATGTAATATGTTTTATCTGTATGTGATCGAGACCGTTTTATCTCGGTCGAGGGCTGAAATTCTGCATCTAGTCAATATTAGTGTTTATACCATGGCATTAACAACTAATAAATATAAAGAATTTGTAGATTAAAAGAAAAAAGTGTTAAAAACAAGGGTTGTGTATCAGTAGGCTACAATGTTGCATCTACGTTTCTGTTTGAAATTGTTTAGGGACTGAAAATACCGGGTCTGGTGAGAGAGAATTCTGGAGTGGTATAATGTACGGACAGAAGCTGTATCTATAGTTATCTTTTTTGGTTTGGAAATGTTATTGACAGAGATAAATATAACGAGTTGAGGTGATCTGAGACTTCATCTAAGAAAGTAGATTTATTGCAACTACAATTGTAACTGTTACGTATCTTATATAGCATAGGGAGTCCGATGTCTACGTTTTTCCAGGGATTCCAGATTAAGATGTTGTAACATATCTGACACGCTCTCGGTGTTATGGTGTCTGTTGATAGTGTAGCAGGCTGCTCTTTTCTATATTCGTTCTAAATTGTCCTGTAACAAAATATCATTTGAGTCGAAAGCGAAAATGAGATGTTTCAGAATCTCGTATTCTGGTAATAGAGGTGTTTTTTCGCGTATACAGTGTTGTTAAAGTTGCACAGCAATTTTTTCTCGCCTATTTTCACTTTAAAGTTCTAAGATTTGACGCTATAACCTCCTTTCCTGTCAATAGGATATGACATTGTTTTAATTGTTAGAAATTTCACATTAAAGTATCAGACTATCTCGGACAAAACAGAAAAAATGTAGCATTTAGGAATGGATGGAATCTCCATATTTCGCTCACGAGACCCGCTCTTATCCTTCTAAATTTCTAGATATGTTGTATAAAGGTGACCAAAGTTCCTAGCATTGTTAAGATAAAAAACAAACAAACAACAGTACACATTGTTGGTGAGATAGGGCGGTACCCTTTTTTTTACCGGCGCTAGATTAACAATTTTTTTCATCCATTTGGTGGTGAGATAGTGGGATCTCAACCCGGTGGGAAAGATGATTCAGTTTGTACACACGAGACTTGCCAACTGATTACAACCTAATACTCTTTTCCCAGCTACACTGTAAGTGACCAATGCCATTATGACGTCACAATTAAAAGCATTGCATGCATTGTGATATTTCCAACACTACTGATTGCTATAGATCAGCGTAATGTTCACCAAATATTCATGTAAGAGGTGGGAAATAATATCAACTATATGTGGGCATGTGGAACGTTAGCTATCATAACCAAAGGTATACAATTGTGTTCAGAACCGTAGCAAATTCTCGGTTTGCTGAAATAAGAATTTAAGGAATATCTTCTATTTCTCATCAACCAGGAAAGAAATATTCTAATATCCCATTATCATTGATTTTAGTTTGGTATATACGAAAGTACAATCTAATGTATATACCTAAACCGGAAATACTTTTTGAGGAAAAACTACCACCAGAATACAGTGATACTGAACCGAAAGAGAAATCAACTATTGCGTGCCAGACGGAATCACGCAATCATCCAGAAGAAGCTGAAAAGTTAAAGACAAGATATAACAAGGAAATCCGCACAATCAATAGAGAGATGCGAATGATGAAGAGACGATACTCGGAGAAAGGTAGAAGATAGATACAAGTTCTCGTGTTGTCTATGTGTCATAGGGATTCGCAATTACATGTAGATTGTCAGCTACGTCATTTACCAAGGATTACATAGCAACTTGGTATTGTTTAAGGTTGTGTGTGTACTTTGAAATATATTGATAAGATTTTACATTTCAATTGATATAATTACGTAACGAGAAGATATTTGAATGTTGATTTAGTTGGACTGTGTTCTATCGAAATATGTAGTTCGAAGATCAGAATAATGCTGTCTGTCAGTTAACACGATGCTTTAATTTAGGGTCACGAACGCAGTATATAATTTGTGTCCGGTTTTTTTCTAAGTGTCGAAGGCGCGATATCGGGTAAAGACGACAGACGCCCAACTCTCAAATCTCCAGCTCAAGGTTCCTCAACTTCTTAAGGAAAAGTCCTCCCTGGAAGACGAGAAGGAGGCGATAGAAAAACAACTCCAGGAAGAACGACAACGACACCAGGAACTCCGGTCAAAGTTCAATAAACTTCACAACCAGATGGCAAATCCTCTTATCACTGGCAGGAACTATATCAACTACCATTAAAAATGAACATGATATAATTTTTTACTGGATCAGATTAGTACAAAAAGCGAAGACTTGTCAAGGTTTTATATGTATTGTTTAACATGCGTCACCATACTAATAACAAGCTAGTAATGTGGTACATACGTGTGGAATCCTGCTAGATGTTGAGAAAAACAGAAGCATGATAGAAAATGATAAAAACGCTTTTATTTATGTATCTATCAGATTTTATATACACTGTATGAAGAATAATTTTTCAGATACACAATATGTTATCATTGGTGTTTTGATGATCGCGAACTGTTCTGAAAACTAAAAGCACCTAGATGAACGAATTCCTGTGGAATGAAAAAAGGCAGATACATCACTTAAACCTAGTTAAAATTTCATATCAAATACGATTATGCGTTCAATATTGTTTACATCTCTGTATTCAACAAAATGGACAGGAAGTTCAGATATAAACAAAAGTGTAAGACATACACATACGTGAAGGCAGGCCCTTTTTTTAAATGACGAAATTATTGTAAGAATGAAAGTACAGTTTATATAACGCTTTGAAGGATTCGCTAAATAATCATACTTGACGGGTTTTTTTTTTTTTTCTTAAAATACAAAATCGTTCTATCGTAATTAGTTTAATGATATCAGGCCCCACTTGTATAAAACATCTCAACTTGAGATTTCCTCTAGTCGAGATTTTCCTCAGCTGATATCTCCTCATAAACGGCTTGTATAAAATTTTCTCAAGGAACAGGAGGAAGTCATCGGCTAGGATGTCCTGAAATTCCTCGAGGAATTTTCATACTAGATATTTTCAAGGAGGTATCAGCTGAGGAAAATCTCGACTTGAGGAAATCTCAAGTTGAGATGTTTTATACAAGTGGGACCAGGACACATAACAGGCAATAGCTAAAGCAAACGAAAGCAGTAATTCATTCAAAGTATTTTACAAAAAAATAAATAAATAAAAAGAATAAATAAATGAAAATATCACAATATAATCATCCGTGTGCATGACACAAACAAAATGAGTGATACTTGTTTATGTCGTAATAAATTGCAGAGGAGCATGTATAACACACGGTGTATACTACCATATACAGTTATTTGAACAATTAAACTCGGTTAACTAACCTAAGAAAATGAATTACACTTCAATGAAACATAATACTATTAAAGATGTTTTCTCATTTCTATGCCTTGTTGGTTACTGCAATTACCCTGTTACTTTCAGGAAAGAAACAGCATTTGTTCAATAGAAAGAAATATAAAGTCTACAAAGGAACGCCGTGGTTTTAATATATTACATATTCTATCATATTAATGATATATATACTTCATGACGATGAAAGTGTACGGAAGAGCATTTGTTCACATCGCTTTTCTCCTGTATCAAATTAATGATTGTCATGAAAAAAAAAAAAAAAATGAATGAGAAGAAAGTAGAGATAAAGATGAAAATTAATTACAAAACAAACTTTTAAAGTGAAAATGAAAGTAAAAACGGACAAGAAAAACTTTACCAATGTAAGGATCAACTATGTTTTTAAATTTGTGACTCTCTTTCGATGAAGCTGAAGAAATTTGATATTCCGGAACATGTGGTATTCTGGTTCTATTTCAGGTGTCTCCGTGTAAATCTTTTGTACATCTTTCCCTCCAGTTTCATCGAACCTGAGTTTGAATTAAGATTATGTTGAGATGTCGATAAACACATCATCAACAGATGCAGGCTATTCAACAAGCCTTACATTCCCTGTCAATCAGTAAACAATCCTTGTTATCAACATTTCTTCACAAGCACCCAATGAATCTTAAAGTTCATATGTACGTTCCCCTCGGTTCCCTGTTATACACTTTATTAGAAAATAATGACCTGCAGGTTTTCTTCGATTTTGACGATGACAGTTTGTCATCACTTTCTCTTAAAATGTACATTATTTTTTTCTTTTGTCTGTATTTTATACTATATTTTAGTAGCAACGCGTGGGGGTGACATTAATAGAGTTATTTGCGCCTTCTCATCAAGTAAAAACACAATAAGGGCATTTTTTGGGCATTATTCCAGACATCTTGGTTACCTTGGTCCGAATTCATAACGCCAGTACCACACAGAAAATGAATCATCGGGCTCATTTACTTGATCGATATATTTATCAATTTATTACTAATTGTAATCCAGGCCAGATATGCACACGAGAAAATTATGTCGTGATTTCATTGTAGCAAATTATCATTGGTTGACCAAAAAATGTCTTGTTACTCTACTCTACTTTCAAGAAAATAAAAAAGAATAATAAATCGGCTAGATGTTTTCCAAGTGCTGCAGTTGTATGTTTGTATTTATCTACTTACGTTGTGTCTTATAAAGCACGAGGCTCATAAGACAAGTATCCCTCTCCCGCTTTAGTTGTTTTAAATTAATCGTTTTCAACTAAGGAGAAAGAAATTAAAACATTGATTTAGGTTCTGAGGTTTGGGCTGTTACACAAAACATCCACAATATTCAGGTTGTTAGATTTGGGCTATTACTTCAAATATCCTCGATATTTAGGTTCTTAGGTTAGGACTGTTGCATCAAAAATCCACAATATTTAGGTTCTAAAGATTTGGGCTATTACATGAAACATCCAAAATATTCAGGTTGTAAGGTTTGGGTTGTTATATCAAACATCTACAATAGTCAAGTTGTTAGGTTTGGGATGTAACATAAAAAAACCCACGACATTTAGCTTGTTAGGTTTGAGCTGTTAAATCAAACATCCACAATATTTAGATTCTTCGGTTTCAGCTGTTACATCAAACATCCACGATATTAATGTTGTTGGTCTGTAACATCAAACATCCACAATAGTAAGGTTGTTAGGTTTGGAATGTTAGATCAAACATCCACGATATTTCGGTTCTTATGTTTGGGGAGTTACATCAATCATCCACAATATTTAAGTTGTTAGGTTTGGGCTGTTACATCAAACATCCACGATATTTCGGTTCTTAGGTTTTGCCTGTTACATCAAACATCCACAATTGTAAGGTTGTTAGGTTTGGGATGTTACATCAATCATCCACAATATTTAAGTTGTTAGGTTTGGGCTGTTACATCAAACATCCACGATATTTCGGTTCTTAGGTTTTGCCTGTTACATCAAACATCCACAATTGTAAGGTTGTTAGGTTTGGGATGTTACATCAATCATCCACAATATTTACGTTTGGGCTGTTACATCAAACATCCAAAATATATGGGTTGCTAAGTGTTGGCTGTTACATCAAACATCCACAATATTTATGTTGTTAGGTTTGTGCTGTTACATCAAACATCCACAATATTTATGTTGTTAGGTTTGGGCTGTTACATCAAACTTCCAAGATATATCGATTCTTAGGTTCGTGCTATTACATCAAACATCCACAATATTTAGGTTGTTAGATTTGAGATGTTAAATCAAACATCCACAATATGTAGGTTGTTAGTTTTAGGCTGTTACATCAAACAGCAAAAACATTAAGGTTGTTGAACTGTTACATCAAACATCCGCAATATTCAGATTGTTAGGTTTTGACTGTTACATCAAACATTCAAAATAGTAAGGTTGTTTGGTTTAGGACGTTACATCAAACATCAACGGTATTTCGGTTCTTAGGTTTTGGCTTTTACATCAAACATCAATAATATATTGGTTGTTAGGTGTTGGATGTTACATCAAACATCCACAATTGTAAGGTTGTTAGGTTTGGGATGTTACATCAAACATCCACAATATTTGCGTTTTAGGCTTACATCACACATCCAAAATATATAGGTTGTTAGGTGTTGGCTGTTACATCAAACATCCACAATATGTAGGTTATTAGGTTTGGGATGTTACATCAAACATCCACGATATTTGTATTATTAGGTTAGGGCTATTGCATCAATCATCCACGATATTTCGGTTCTTAGGTGTGTGCTGTTATATCAACCATTCACAACATTTATGTTGTTATGTTTGGGCTGTTACATCAAACATCCACGATATTAATGTTGTTGGTCTGTAACATCAAACATCCACAATATGTAGGTTGTTAGGTTTGGAATGTTACATCAAACATCCAAGATATATCGGTTCCTAGCTTTGTGCTATTACGTCAAACATCCACAATATTTATGTTCTAATGTTTGTGCTGTTACATCAAACATCCACGATATTTCGGTTCTTTGGTTTCTGCTGTTACATCAAACATCCACAATTGTAAGGTTGTTAGGTTTGGGATTTTACATCAATCATCCATAATATTTACGTTTGGGCTGTTACATCAAACATCCACAATATTTATGTTCTAATGTTTGTGCTGTTACATCAAACATCCACAATATTTATGTTGTTAGGTTTGGGATGTTACATCAAACATCCAAGATATATCGATTCTTAGGTTCGTGATATTACATCAAACATCCACAATATTTAGGTTGTTAGATTTGAGATGTTAAATCAAACATCCACAATATGTAGGTTGTTAGTTTTAGGCTGTTACATCAAACAGCAAAAACATTAAGGTTGTTGAGCTGTTACATCAAACGTCCGCAATATTCAGATTGTTAGGTTTTGGCTGTTACATCAAACATTCAAAATAGTAAGGTTGTTTGGTTTAGGACGTTACATCAAACATCAACGGTATTTCGGTTCTTACGTTTGGGCTGTTACACCAAACAGCCACAATATTTAGGTTGTTAGGTTTGGGGTGTTACATCAAACATCAATAATATATTGGTTGTTAGGTGTTGGATGTTACATCAAACATCCACAATTGTAAGGTTGTTAGGTTTGGGATGTTACATCAAACATCCACAATATTTGCGTTTTAGGCTGTTACATCAAACATCCAAAATATATAGGTTGTTAGGTGTTGGCTGTTACATCAAACATCCACAATATGTAGGTTATTAGGTTTGGGATGTTACATCAAACATCCACGATATTTGTATTGTTAGGTTAGGGCTATTGCATCAACCATCCACGATATTTCGGTTCTTA